CTCCTTTGGCAGTCGTAACCCATTTGGAGGTCCTACGAGGCAGGGCTACCAGCCAGTAGGTAAGAACAGAAAAATGCTATTTTACGATGCCATTTAAGATATTCTACATGTACATGTTCATAACAATATGGCGATGGCTTAATTTGTCGTAAACCCAAAGTTTAATGCTTTATGTTATTAGACAGGAAGGGTCTTGACAATTATTGAAAGAAGTAATAAATAAATAAATACTGAGTGGTGCCATGGCCTTTTTGTAAATCATCAGGTTACAATTTTTATCATTTTAATTAATTTGAATACATGTCCAGAATGCAGGTATTTTAGCATGTAGGTGGCATTTACCAAAAAGCCCTGTTTGGACAGCAGGGCTTTTTGGTGTAACAGTGTAACAGTGTTACACAGTGTAACTGAGTGTAACAATTCTTCAAATCTATAGTTGAGTTCAGTACCTTGTTCCTGGGCCAACGTTTCAGTTTACAGATCAGTGATTCCTGAGATTAGGGACAAAACAGGTTTTAATTTTCTAAAATATATTTTTTGATTTTTCAAAAACATATTTACATATAATTGTTACACAAAGTTTTGGCTGTCTCACCATGTTTTGGTACAATCTTCCAGGTGTAACATTTTATGTTAATTTATGTTTTTGCTGGAGAAGTGCAAGGTTTTTGTCAACACCGTGAGACACAAAGAAATGCAAAAATATATATTTTAAATTAAGTTGTTTCAGCTCTTTTGACTATTAGCAGCTTCTCTATTCTATTGTTTATGCACATATGTTTTCAATTAATTATACCACATTTGAAAGTAAGTTTGTTTTGGCTTTTTATTATTAGAGTTACAGTCATACATATTTTCAGAAGCTTGTATTAAATCTGTATAAGAAACAGTCATATTAAGCAGCATGCAAATTACACATTTATTGAGAAAATTACGTATTTTTATTGGAAGATCATGAGGGAGGAAACTATATGGTTCTCCAAAAGAGAAAAATAAACAAAAACTCCATATTATGGAGTTGACAAGGTGCTGACGGTGGTGACACTCTAGTAGAAAACAAGATATTATTTCTTTCAAAATGACAATTAAACCTTAACAACCTTTGTAATATCACAAGACACATCATAACAATTCTGTTTTTGCACATGTCAAGTTCTACATCTTAATAGTTCACCAGCAAGTAGCTGCCTACTCCTCCTTGATTCCTAAAGTACTCTGTGGTTGTGTGTTTAGACCCCGCTGTAATTTCTCTCCTTTTGTCTCTCTGTGCTTGTTTCCAAAACCTTCTCTTCTGCTTTTTTTCTCTTTCTTTCAGATCACTGATGTTCTTTATTTTTCCCTCTTTCACTCTATTTTTCATCTTTCTCTTTCCTTTATGAGAAACTCTTTTTTCAACTCAGGCTGGCTGTTAATTTTTTCTCTCCTTCTTTTTTGATCATCCCTGTTCCTTCTCTTTCGTTCCTCTACTGACAGCTTCCCCTTTGCTATTCTAGCCTGAAATGTACCATTTTGTAATTACTATAATTTTTCTGAACCTTATGCTTTTTCACAGATTAAGGATGAATATTCACAACACAATTATGCATTAAGCAATAGAAATGCTATCCGGCCATTAAGTTTATGTCATTAGCCGTTTCCAGGTCCAAACTCCGCTGCAGATCCCAAAGTCAAAGGAACTCTGTGGCATCACTGAGAGTTACAAACTGTCTAAATTCTTTCATCTTTAATAAAATGATCAGTGTGGCTCTACCAGGTGTAACATCCAGGCATCCATGAAAACAAAATATATGAAATTTAACAGAGTTAAAGTTAGATTGCTTGTTTCCACCTGAACATGATATACCAGCTCTGCTACCACTTCCAACATAAATGGAGACAGAAAACTAAACAGCAGTGACTATTGTCAGGTTACTGAAGTTGGGCTAGCTGGTATATAATGATGTGCTACGTGATTGCTAGCGAAACAGCTGTGTTAGCATAACATAAACACAGTGAAGCTGGAGGATGAGTGCTAACTTTTTTCCACTTGATAAAAGTTAACGTGAGGGTTCCCGTTGGTTAGGCTGACAGTGATCTCTGACTGTTTTTAGGGGCTTGTTCAGATGTAATAGAACAAGATAAAAAGCATTAAAACATTTTAACAGCACAACAGGCTTAATAAACACAGAGTAGTTTAGGCCCGGAAGCAGGATTCATACATCATCACTTAAAGAACAGCTCTCGAGGCACAGCTAGCTCAGTAGATGCCACATGATCGAAAGGTTGGGCATTCAAATCCAACGAACAGCGGCTATCCTGGATTGGTGGCTGCCCACTGCATCACTGAGTGAATGGGTTAAATGCAGAGGACTAAGCATTTTCCTACAGGATTAATAAAGTATACATAAACAATGAGATTCAAGATAAGGCAAATTTGATAATATTTGACACATCTGTGAAGCAGAAATATCAGTAAAATACACAGGAAGTAATATGACTGAAATATTAGTAAAAAAAACTTAATATAATTGATTAATAGGACACTTTTGTGACATTTGTCAACACCATTAAAAAAAGGGTCAACACCGTCAGACAAAAATCCTGATGGTGTTGACATCTTATGTGATGACAAAATACCCGACTTTCTCTCATAACACATGTTTTTCTGACAGAAGCCATCTTGTTTTTCATCATTTGCTTATGGCTTCTACAATCTACCTAAATGAAGCTCTTTTTACAAAAAAGAAAAAAGAAATCTTCGATTACATCAACTTTGGTGTTGACGCACTATGGTTGTGACACAGAGTTTTATCAGAAAGGTGTGCAATAAATGAAATAAAAACAAACAAAATATCACAGCAGTGACCTCATGGCATGTGTATCAAACAGGAAGTGGTAAAGGGGTCCTCAGAGTGTAAGCTACCCACAATAATTCCTGATTTTTTTGTACTTTTAAAAAAATCTGACGGTGTTGACAAAAATCTGGACACGATTTTAATCACTTAAAAAATATTTAAAAATAAATTTTCAATTGCATATTTTGATATTATATAAGGTATTGACTTAAATACTTAGTGACGAGAGCCATGATGTTTAATTTTACATTACTTTTAATTTTTTTTCTGTATTTTAATATTATCACACCTGCTTCTGGACAATGGATTTTTAAGGTACTGCTATTGTACCATTTAAAATAAATCTATATGTATAAAAAAATGCAAAAATCATAGTTTTGTTGTATAAACATTGCCTTGGTTTGTCTTTTAGGCAGTTGGGTTAGCACTTGTATGCATATTTTTAACCACAAAATTGGGTTTTATCTGCCGGACATGTTTTGTCCCTTATCTCAAGAATCACTGAGTTAATTTAAAATTTGAATGCTGAATGGGGGAAAAATGCACTTGTTAATATTTTATTACAAGGCTCATCATCTGTTTAATGATAAGCAAAAAATAAACCACCCATTATATTGTTCCATTATTGTATTATATTTCCATTTCGTTCTTTACCTGAAAAACCTTTTTCCATCTTTCAGTTTTCATCAGACTAGCATGTTTAATCAACAGCTCTACATGGCTCACCATATGGAAAGATGAAATTTCAGAATGGCAAACATTTTCATTTTCAAATTTCCAGGTAGAATAGCTTTCTGTCAGAAAGGCCTTATAACACATGACATTTTGTTACAAATCATGATGTCTTTATATTTCGATGCCACCGTCAGGTCGTTCTAAACCAGGTGTGGGCAACATCTGTGTCACACTAAGAGAATTTGTTTTCTTTTATTTAACTTTATTACATTTTTAGAACTTCTGTTTGGTGAACCTGAAATTGCTTACTTGAAGCAGTCTTTTAAATGTCATTATGTCTGATTTTGAAATATCCACAGTAGAGTTCAGACGTTCATCCATCAGTTGGGATCTCTAAGGCGCTGTAGTTTATCACAGAGAAGCTTTATTCACCTATAAAAATCTGATGGGCGGTGTCTTGCAGCAGCACCACAGACTCTTTAAAATAATTTGACTCATGATGAATTTATAAAGCTGTTGTTATTTGTTTTTTGGGCAGTTTGCTTTGTTTTCCTTTTATGACATTGCAGGTCAGGTTGAAACACCTGAGAGGAAAAGTCAGTGTGTTGCCCAAACCTACTGTGTCTTATCCTGCTTACTGTAGCCTTTGGGTCTGATAGCTTTTAGAGCAGTGTGAAAATTGTGAAAAAAGCATAATGACTAAGTTTTAGGATATAATAAACCCAATAATTTAAGCTGACAAAATAACCCATTACTATTTTTACGTGAAAATCATTCACGTTACATCTATACCATTACAGTATAAATCACCTTAAAGCAACTGCTATCGCACACACACACACACACACACACACACACACACACATATATATATATATATATATATATACGTATGGGTTCTCAGGCCTCAGAGAGTTAAATTAGAATTAATAAATGGCATCTGGCTGTAGGAAACACAGAAGACATATTAGAAGGTCTGTTGAAAAATGAAAATCAGACCACAAGGATAAGAATCTTTTATGTTAAACTGCTCACTGTAAGGCATGCTATTAAAATCACTTGCATGTCAACACTGTGGCTTTATGAAAGTTTGCATGAATTTTAGAAGTCACCCACGTTCCTACTCATAAAAGCAGGTAATCAGAGTCAGGTGTTGCAGTCATCACAACACATTTGTTATTCATAAAGAAATGAATAATTCAGGCAATCAAGTCTACATGTACATGAGTAAAAATACACACAAATACAACGACTGCATGAGAAAAAAAACACAAGTAAATGGCTGTATGAAGTATGATTGGCAATTTTTGGTTTGACGGTAAATAAATCTGTAAGAACTCTCCAGTTTATCCTTTTGTATGCATTTATGTATGTTTGTTTATATTATGATGGAAAAATGTATGCCTTTTAGAGGCAGATATGCAAATCAAAGGAATGGAAACCACTTTTCCATACAGCCGTGATACCCACCAACTTATCTTTGTTCTCTGTTGCATTTTTAGCTATTCAGGCTGTGTAGCCTTGATGACAGTCAGTAGACCAGTCCATTA